TATGGATATAATCCTGTCACTCACGATGTTGTACTTCAAGATGGATCTAGAAATTACTTTTTTTACTATAAAGGCAACCCCATTTTTCCTTGTCTTTTCAGTCACTTTTGAGTCACTTCAGCTTAGCTATTAAAAAACTCCAGGTTCAGAGAGAGGATGGAATTTACTTAAGGCCACAAACAGTTTTAAATCGTGTAGCCAACAAGTAAGTCTGGGTCTGGGTGATGTGGCTTGGTGAGTTAAAGTGTTGGACTGATACCTGAAAGTTTGGTGGTTCAAATCCACTAGCCACTCTGCAGGATAAAGTGTCCTTTAAGTGTATGTTAAGACATACAGGTCAAAACAGACTCAATGGCAGTGGATTACATTGCAGTTTGGATTGATTATAAGCATAATAAATGTTTACTGGAGAAAAACCCAAAAAAGCCTTTCACCTGTGACCTGTTTCCACTCCTTTATCAACTTCTTCACGATTAATTCCATTTTTAAAACACCTTCTTAGTATGAAACAGAAGTCTAGAATTCCTCTCCCTGTTTAGAGCATAAACCCCTTACTTTTTATCTTTCAGAATGTTCTTAGATGCAGGAAAAACTTCAATTTTAAAAAGTAAGGATTCCAGTACTTACACATTAAATTTAAGAGAACTTCATGGTCCCATTTGAACAGTTAGATCTAGCAATCAGCCCATAAAATAAGCCCAGCTCCTTGATGATCAAGGTTTACAACTGGGTGGGTAAAATAAGTATTCATCAAAGTGTGATACATTGACAAGATTTTAAAAAATATTTTTTCTTATTTTTGTAAAAATATGTAACATTCAACTAAAAACTCCACTGAAGTAGAACAGATGAGGAGGAGGAGGACTATATGATTAGGCATTGTATGTTTTACAACAATCTGGAACAAGTGATGCACTGCTGGGTGGGCTGGAGGAGGGGAAAGGGAGTGGGAAAAGAAAATGTTCAACAATGAATAAAATAATTTTTAAAAATTAATATTAAGGAAAAAAATATATAACATTCCCCCCCAATGTGTACAATTTAGTGACTTAGACATTTTAGTTACAACAATTAGATAAATCATGAGTGTACCCATCATCACTGTCTCTTGGCAAATTTCTTATCACTGTGAACAGAAGCTCAGCTGCTTCCTAAATAGAGGCTTCCCCTTACTCTTAACCCTGGTGAGCACTAAGAAACTTTGGTCATTGTACATCTGCCTATTTTCAATATATTACATGTATGACACTTAAAGGGCATCTTATCAGTTTTAGTGAAGGGAGGTCAGGTGGCCCAGTGCATAAAAAGTTGCACGACCAGTCCAAAGGCTGTTCAGTTAAAATCCACCAGCTTCTCCAAGGGAAAAAGAGGATGGGCAGCCTCGTTCTGTGTGACTTACAGCCTCTGAAAACCCTCTGGAGGGAGCCTGTGCTTGTTGAGGTTAGAGCTTTGGTGGCACAGTCCATAGGCATTGCTAATCCAAAGGCAGCTCCTCTGTGGAACTTCAAGTCCTTCAGTGTCTCTGAGGGAGAAGGATGGACAGTATATCTCCCCATGTGATTTACAGCCTTGGAAAACCAACGAAGGGCAACTTGAGTCAATCCAACTGATGGTAATGAGTTTTTCACAAATGGTGGGACAGAGACACCATAACCTTCCTCACCAGCAGACTCCTGCTCTGCAGTGCTTTGTCTGCTCTCTTTATATTCTGGCTAATAGATCGTTCTTCCTTCAGGGCATCTTAGGACTCATTCTTCCTTTGGGGACATTAATGGATAATTTATAGTAAAGGAGTTGATATAAAAATCAGTTTGGAAAAGGCCAAACCATATGGTCCTAAGGACTCGATCTGGCATTGCTATTCCAGCAAAATATGGGAATGTTATTCTGTTTTCACTTCATTGCAGCCTTCCCTCTCCTGCTCTATTGCTTCTTGTTTATCAGGATGCTATATGTGTAATCTGCAGTTGACTTTCTTTCAGTACAGTTGACTGTTAGAAAGTTCCTTCTGTGTTCAGGAACCATGTCCCTGAAATCTAGTTTCCAAAAAGGAGGGAACATATCTGCTCTTGAAGATAATATGACCATCAGTTCTTGTCCTTTCCTTACTGGCCAACCTAGTAATCCCCTGACGTATTCTCTGTCCCACTATTTGTTGTTGTTAGTTGGCACTGAGCCGTTTCCAACTTATGACGACCTTATGTATAAGCAGGGTCTCTGGTAGCATCGTGCATTATGAGTTGACTATTAACCCAAAGATCAGTGATCTGAATCCATTAGGTACTTCTCCAGAGAAAGATGAGCTGCCTCCTCCTGTAACATTATGGCCTTAGAAACCCATCAGAGGGT